GAGACGAAATCGGCCAAGTCACAGAAAAAGATGTAAAGCTTGTATCCGATTGAAGCTCAATGATGAAAATGTTTGGGTAGTCAGACATTTTGAGGAGAAACACACTCATGAGTTGGTTAATCCAAAAGACTTCCATTTTTTGAAAAGTAACAGGAGGCTTACATATCATCAAAGAAAACTTATTCATGATGTATCAAATATAAACATTGGTCCGGTTAGAGCATTCGATATTGAAGCAAACACAAGGAGGATTTCTCAACGTCGGGGCAACAGAAGTTGAATGCAAAAATTTGAAAAGGATTGGATACAATACATTGGTGAAAATGATGCGGACATGGTAATTGACAAGCTCAATAAAAAAAAGAATATTTACACGACTTTTCTTTTGAATATCGTGTGGACAGTGAGGGAAAGTTGTGTGGTTTATTTTGGGCGGATGAAGAAGCAAAGCGAAATTATTCAGCATTTAGAGATATTGTCGGATTTGATGCTACATACCAAACAAACAAGTACATAATATCTTTACATATTAAACAAATATCATGGTTGTTAAATTAACGGTGGTAATAACTTGTATAATTCATATTGTATATTTGTTATGCAGGTACTTCATGATTTTCGTGCCATTTACGGGTATTGACAATCATAAAAAGTGTGTCACTTTTGCAGTTGGGTTGCTTTCTAGTGAGTCAATAGAATCGTATAAATGGTTGTTAATGGCTTTTAAAACGACTTTTGGGTGAGAACCAACTGTGTTTATGACAGATCAAGACCCAACTATCAAGTAAGCGATTCCAGCAGTTTTCTCACCATCTTGTAGGCATCGATTGTGTATGTGGCACATATCACAAAAGTTCACCGACAAGGTAAACAATGTACCCTCAAAATAGTATGTATATATGGGAATATTGAGTTAGTGTAACTGAATCGGCACCTATAATTAGTTGAAGCATAAATTAAAATTGTATGGACATTGAAGAATATTAAGTTAGTGAAACTAAATCACGTTTTGCATGAAGCACTTTAGTTCTGGTACTAAATTCAGTTGGAATCACAAGTAGCTTGGAAGTGTAAGTTTGTTGTATGGAATCGCAAAGATTTTGAAATTAAGGCACTACTAAGAACTGAATCACCTGTTACCAAAAGAAACTTAGTTGAAGCATCACGTAAAATCGTATGTATGTATAGAAATATTAAGGTATTCGTAACTGAATCATGTTTTGCATGAAGCAATTAAGTGTTGGTACTTGAATCACTGGGCAAAACTCAATTCAGTTGGAATCACATTTTGCTTGGAATTATTAGTTAGTACATTTAAATGAAATGGTTCAATTTTCACTATTGAAGCACCTGTTACCAAACAAGATTTGTTGAAGCATCAGTTAAAATTGTATGCACATATAGGAATATTAAGTTAGTGTGACTGAATCATGTTTTGCATGAAGCACATAAGTGCTGGTACTTGAATCAGTTGGCATAACTCAATTTAGTTTGGAATAACATTTTGCTTGGAAGTGTAAGTTAGTATATATAAATGAAAAGATTAAGTTTTTGCATTGAAGCACCTGTTACCAAATGAACTTTGTTGAAGCATCAGTTAAAATCGTATGTAAATATAGGAATAGTAAGTTAGTGTGACTAAAGCATGTTTTGGATGAAGCACTTAACTGCTGTTACTTGAATCACTAGGCAGAACTTGCTTATGTTAGAAGCACATTTTGCTTGGAAGTGTAAGGTAACATATATATATATATATATATATATATATATATATATATATATATATATAAATGAAAAGATTAAGTTTTTATATTGAAACGCTTGTTACCATCAAACTTTGTTGAAGCATCAGTTAAAATCGTATGTACATGTAGGAATATTAAGTTAGTGTGACTGAATCATGTTTTGGCTGAAGCACTTAAGTGTTGGTACCTGAATCACTAGGCATAACTCAGTTCTGTTAGAATCACATTCTGCTTGGAACTCAACTCTATTGAAGCACCTGTTACCAAAAAAATTTAGCTGAAGCATCACTTAAAATCATATCTATACATAGGAATAGTATGTTAGTGTAATCGAATGATGTGTTACATGAAGCACGTAAGTGTCGGTACTTGAATCACTAGGTAGAAATCTATTCATATGGAATCATATTTTGCTTGGAAGTGTAATTTAGTATGTAAAAATGAAATGATTCACCTATTACCAAAAAAGTACTTAGTTGAAGCGTCATGTATAATCATATATAAATATAGGAATATTAAGGTAGATGTGACTAAATCATGTTTTGCATGAAGCACTTAAGTGTCGGTACTTGAATCATTAGGCATAACTCAATTCAGTTGGAATAACATTACACTTGGCAGTGTAAGTTAGTATATATAAATGAAGTGAGTCAATTTTTCTATTGAAGCACCTGTTACCAAAAAATACTTAGTTGAAGCATCACTTAAAATCATATGTCGATATGGGAATATTAATGTAGATGTGACTGAATCATGTGTTGGAATCACATTTTGATTGGGAGTGTAAGTTAGTATATATAAATGAAATGATTCAATTTTTTCTATTGAAGCACCTGTTATTAAACAAACTTAGTTCAAGCATCACTTAAAATCATATGTACATATATGAATATTAGTTAGTTTGATTGAATCATGTTTTGGATGAAGCACTTAAGTGCTGGTACTTGAATCACTAGGCATAACTCAATTTAGTTGGAATCACATTGTATTTGGAAGTGTAAGTTGGTACTTATAAATGAAATGAATCATTTTTTATCAGAAAAACTAATGATGATTACCCATTGATTTTTCAGTTGGGTTCCCATATGTCAAAGACGGGGGTTTTGCAACGATTAAACGATGTTATATGGAATGAATGAATCAATACAAGCGAGTTTGAAATATAATGGCAAAGGATAATGGATGGGTATAAGTTAAATGATAACAAATGGTTTAAAGATATGTTTGCAATTCGTGATAAATGGATTCGTGCCTATTTCAAGGATTGCCACTTGTCAGGGTTAATGCGAACGACATCAAGATGTGAAGGTGAAAATTATTTCTACGGGTTGATGACAAATACAGATTTGCATTTAATTGAGTTTCTCGGTCATTTTGAAATGGCAACGGAAGCACAACGTTGTGTTCAACGTAAAAACAATCATGACTCCCGCTACACGGATCCTGATATTAAAACAAACTTGTTGATTGAAGAGGAGGCATCTGAGACCTTTACACGAATTGTGTTCTTTGAAATCCAAAAGGAGATAATGGCATCCATGCTTACATGTTACTCAATTAAAGTCGAAGAATATGATGGAATTAATAAATTCAGCATCAAAGATACTGATAAAGACGTTAAGCATTTTGGTGATTTTGAGGTATGTAAATTGTACTTGGTTGTATCTAGAAACTATTTTAGACAAAACGAATTTTAATACTTTGTTATATTGAGAGGTTTCATTCATGAAATCTGATTGCAGAGTTACTTGCTCTTGTTTACGCTTTGAATTAACCGAGTGCCTATGTAGACACTGCTTTTACGTATTAAGGATGTCAGGAGTAGAACATTTCCCTAGAAAATATGTTTCAAGAAGATGGACAAAGGATGTGGTATCGACGCCATCAAGTGGGTATAATATGTGTCAGTCTCCTAAAAATGATGCAAATGATGACTTTAAATCAATGATCCGAGACATATCCTATTATGTTGACTATTATGTTGATCGGCTAGTTTCTGATATGGAAAAGTTGAAGTTGTATCGAGAAACTAAGGGAGATGACTCAAGAAGTTGATGAAGATACAAGAAGTGTACAACCCATGACGAACAGAGGCTTCATTGAAGCGGTGTTTGGTGTCGAGAAGCGAGATGAAGTAAATGTTAAAATTCCAGAAGAAATCAGAAACAAAGGTAGTGGGCCGGTTAAGAAAAGGATGATAGGAGAAAAAGAGATGGCGATTTTGAAGGCTAAAAAGGGTTCGAGAATATGTGGACGATGCGGGGAGTATGTTGATCATAATGCTCGCACTTGTAAGAAAAAAGCAAATGACTCTGCTTCTAAATAGTTTGGTTTATTTTTTCTTCTTAATTAATAAGTATTCAAGATAACAATGTTATTTTACGAGTTAACGTGAATCTTTGAGTTTAACATTTAGAAGCGTTTTATTTTTAATGCAGAGAGTTAAAGGCTTTTTATTTTTAAGATATTAGTATCTATGTCTGAATCAAATGTTATGGTCGCTCGAACGCATACATGATAAGTGATTCCATAACTACATGGAGCATTAGTTTAGTTGACATATGTAGTTAAATGACATGAATTAGAAAAAGTGATTGACTGTCATGAACGCTTAAAGTGAATGGTCAAAATTGAGTAAAATGAAGATGTCACTAGGTCGAGGTAGTAAGATGGTATTCACTTGAATGTTAAAATAGAGTGTTAGTAATAAAAATCGGAACAAAGGACTTATTTGTAGTGGAATGAATCAACCTGAATAACATGATTTAAGTTTATGTTATTAATGTAGGTGAGTCATACCTAGACCTAGATTGCAGAATGTGATTGGAAGGGGTAATTTCCATAAAATATGAAATCAGTTTTAAGTGTCATGATGGCTTAAAGTTAGTGATAAGAAGAATTCCTGCAATTAAATTTTTGTTATTTGTAATCCATGGCAGTGTAAGTGTCATAATAGTGAAATGTAAGTGTCATGAATAGTCAAATGTAAGTGTGATGAATAATCAAAGTTGCATTTAATAACAATATCATTGTAACTTTGTTTCAAAATTGATAGTAAAAAAAATGCGTAAATGGTATTAAAAAGGTAAATTGTAGTAAATATCAAAAACACATAATAAATTAATAAAAACTATTGTAATTGAAGATTGGTCACTTAAAATCAGACAAGACAAACGTAAATAATGTTATTGTCAAACCAAAAAACAAAACAAAAGTAAAAACAGCGTAAGACATGGTTCAAAGCTTAATGTAAATCTAATAAAACAAACTGATTATGCGCTCCATGCGTTGGAGATGTTCTTCAGTGTTCAAGTTTTCCTTCTCCGCATCAGATAATTTATCGTATGATGCTAACTTTCTGTTGAGAGATGGTTTGATAATGCTCAAATCTGATGTCAAAATTTTTGTAACATACTTCTTTCTCAATTCATTTAGCTGTATTTGTTTGTCATCACTGTCAGCGAATTCAGGCTCCAAACCCACAATCCATTTATTCGGATCCCCACCCTTATATGTTTCCATGTGTTTCATAAGGAATAACCCACAATCTATGTAGTTTTCCTTTGTCATCTATTCCATAGACAATCAACCTATGATTGCACTCTTCATTGAATTTCTTCTTGAATTATTCCAAGCATCAATATACAAAGTAAACAATATTTTACGGAATAAATATGATAGGTGATCAGAATATAATATATGATCCTGGTTAAATTATATATATATATATATATATATATATATATATATATATATATATATATATATATATATATATATGAAATTTTGTTACCAGATCGTTAGGCACGTTTCCATAAATCACTTCAATCGACTCTTAAGGGTAAATGTTGTCTATGATTACACATTCTGATTATATGAAATCAAAGACAATAAGGTAGTAATGTTCGTTGTCAAGCATGGGGAAGAATACCTGATGTCCATAATAAAATTGGTTGAACATAGTTTTGTGTGAAACAAGTTAGTTAATGTAAATTGATTGAATAAATGAAAAGGATTTACAAGGTCCACATCTTTGAAGCTTGTGCATTGTTTGAATTTTTCGATATGCTCATTCATGCGATCAACAAACCTTTTGTATCGATGCTCAATACAAATCGCCTCATCCAGTATGAATTTGCTCTGGAATTAAAATGTGTAAGTTATTGGATCATTTAAAATAAGTATACGACATAAAAATTAATTTTACCAAAAGTGTGCAGGATAAAAATATCCTTGATGGTGATTTCTTATTTCTGCGTAGTTCCTGATGGTTTAGAAGAGTAGCCCAAATGTCTATTATTGTTACATGGATTTTGGATCCAGGAATCATACTCTCAAAAATTACAATTAGTTTTCATCAATAAGTATATAGTTACTGTGATTCTTTATTTTCCAGTAAAACGGATATATTGATTTAGAAATGTACCATTCCTCGTCCAGCCCTGTGAAAATCCAACCGGACACTCTCTCCTCGATTGGTCTAAGAACTTTGTTTGGATCAACGCCCTATTAGAATAAGGTGATCTAAGTTTCTCGGTTAGTTGCACCAATCTTCTTGTCCGTCTTGGTGCCATAACAGTAACAGGACTAACCACCAATCTTGATGTCCATCTTGGCACCACAATAGTAACAGGAACCGCGTTTACATCATCAATTTTGATATTTGGTTCGACATGATCCGATGGAGTTGAAAGCCTTGTAGAGGTGTCAAATGCCGATTCTAACATCATGTCAAAAGCATCTGCATTAAGAATTTGTGTAAATGGTGTACACACAACATCAATAAGTGGCTCATCTGCCATTTGAGCTTCCGTAAATTGATCAACTTTAGTTTCAACTGTATTATCTCGGACTTGCATAACAGGTGTAGCGGCTCCATTGAAAAATGTCTCATCATGAGAATCAACAGATGTTGAAAAATCTGGCCATGCCAGATTGAATTCGTGATGCGTTTTAGTTACTAACATGTGCAGTTCGACAGAATCTGGAAACTGATTTATACCTTGCATCAACAACTTATGTATAGCTCGCAATGCATTGTCGCATGCATTGAATTCGATGTTAATTTCGCTCATAATATCCTGGAAAGAAGCATGGCATAAGTAGAATCCTATAAAAGTGATAGCATGAAATGGTAAACAAATGTGCTGAAATACTAGTTTTCGATTTGGTTTTATGTTGAATTAGTAAAAGCACAAACGTCACACATATCCTGATAAGGTCACATATACTAAAGTTCTTTAATAGTAATAAACAAATAATGGTTTTATATTGTATAATGTGTATAAAAGAACTAGCACATGGAACAAATTTAGTGAATCAGTGTACTAAATAGAGCACTAAAATCACGAATTTTACCATGATTAACATTAGTAATAAACAAAATGGCATCATAAATTTGTTGAAATGTATAGCTTCATTACCTTCAAGTTGTTATCTGCATCATTTTCACTTTGTGATGTTTCTTGAACTACATGTTCAATAAAACCAGCAGGAGATTTACAATCTCTTTTAGATCCAGTGGCATCATCATCCTCGCCATCTTCTATTTTGGAATTTCCATATGTGAATTAAAGATTTGTATAAGTTATACGCTTAATACTATTCAAATACTTTGAAAAAGCTATAATATACCTTGTTTAGTGTGGTTCTTGCTTATGTGTTGTGATGGTATGATTACACTTCCAAAACCTCCTTTAGACAACTCTTCTAACTCCCTCTTATCTAACATGTCTGTTGTCCAATACATCATTCCAGTAGTTGGACTTTGAATTGTGGCATCCTCAACTTTTTTGAAACTAAGGTAAAACAACTAAAAAGAATATGTTATTGAATAAAATATACATATATAAGCATTTTTAATCATGTTTTGATATATTTCAGAAAATGTGTTTACCAAAAGAAATACAATGGGACCACTGTAAATGCACTTATCGTCCAATCTTCTCCACATCATACGAGTTGATTTCAGACATGCTACAACAAATATGCACTAGTCTAATTGTTTGATATCCATATCATCTGGAATATTCTACAAGAATCCTTGATTGACAGTCCCCATCGTTGGATACTCAATCATCACAGATACAAACAACATAAGAAAATTCATAATAAAAAAAGGACCAACATTTGTGACCTTTTGTATCATGTCTACAATGTGTGTTAGTCGTATTCGTTTGACTTATTTTGGAAATTGAGATTTCCAAAGTTTGACAAACTTGTTTCTAGAGTTTTCTCTACAAGGGTTAGACATTGGTATGTCACCCATTAGAATCCCATATATATCACGTACCCTCTCCCTTGTCACAACAAGTCTCTTGTCCTTTACACGAATCGAATTGATATTTGGGTCGTAGTTGTCGAAAACCCAATAACATATCGTACGCGACAGTTTTTCTAATTGTATATTTAAAGCGGATCCAAATCCAATAGACTCTACACACTTTCTTTGACCATTGTTCAGCAATGCCATGGTTTTGGTAATGTGTTCCGGAGGGAACCTAGTGTTCAAATATCTTAAGGAATCTTCCACTTTTCCTGGATTTGCCATTCTAGTTTGATTTTTCACAATCTTTTGTATCGGAATTGTAACAGGTTGCTGGTTTACAAAATCATCATCATCATCTGGACGCTTTCGAGAATAAAAATCTGATGTAAACTTTGTCCTGCTTTGTTCTAAAAAAACCATCCTCATATACATATTATTAACACATAAAAATAAATATAATAAAACATTAAATAATGATTTATGATCATTGCTTTATACTTGATTTTGATATATTGGATTCCATATCATTATTGATGGAAATGTCTTTGTTGTTAATGATTGTAGTGTGTTCGCTCTGTTTCCCTGTTGATTGAGATAGAATAAAAATTATCAAAAATAATTAACAATAATACAAAGACTTAAACATAAGCATATTTATTAGGATTCATTTGCCACCGTCTCCTTGTTTGTTGAAGTCGTCGTACCTGTCTCACTACCGACGATGATGTAGGATGCGAAGCTCGGTCCATCGTTGTGAACGAGATAGACCGGTTAGACCGCAAATATCCTTCAACCGATGATGATTAGCGCTACAGAGGGAGTCTTCAAGGCTCGGAACGACGATGATCGATCATTGCTTTCATTTATTCGCCTCCCTTTCTTCTTTTACTCCCAGCTCTTGTTGTCGGCATCGTGTGAAGTCAGAAAACCACCGCGAGCCTCCCCTTCCAGTGTGGATGAAGCACCTTGCACCATACGACATGTTAAGCGAGGTTGAAGTATTTATGTGCAGTGGATCAAGAGGAAACGCCACCCACCACTGCGAGATGGTGGTTGTCAAAGCAATGTTGTAGCCGCTGTTGCCGCCATCTAGCGCCATCATCGCCATGTACGCCACCAGGTGGGTGGCTATGCTACTTTTTCCAAGCAAACAGTGCTTGTGTGTGTTCATTTCAGTGTAGTGGAGGTTTTGTTTAGCCGGATTTCTCGAGAAAAGTCACCACCACCGTAAGGTGGTGGCTGCAACCGTCTACCGCCACCGGCCACCACAAGGATGGTTGTGTGTGTGTGTATATTTGTATTAGTGTGTGTGTGTGTGTGTGTTATTGAGTTGTATATTGTAAATGATTCCCAAAATAATAATGAAAATATCAAAACCACCACCGTAGGATGGTGGCTGCCGCCACCAGCCGCCGTGTCGGGTGACGGTGTGCTTTGCCTTGTCTTGTTGATTCGGTTGGGATGCTTGAAACCCTAATGGGCTTAGTGAAAGCCTAATGGACCTAGTGAAATCATAATGGGCCCAATGAATCCTAATTGGTGAAAGGACCTAGCTATTGGGCCTATTGAGCTAATATGGGTTGGAAACCCTAATGCCATGAAACCCGAATTTAGGACTTATCAGGACCGCATAGGAATTATTTAATGAATTTAAAATATTAATTAATAATCAATGCAAATTAACCTAAGGCCATGTGGGACTTAATGTACTAAGTCCTTAATGGGTTAAGTAGGAAAACTTAACCCTAATCATCATTTTATGTGAAAACCCTAATTCCACTTGGGCCTTGAATTGGGCCTTTCCATTGAGTTTTGGTAATTGGATTATTAATGGGACATCCAAGAATAATCATATGGACTAGAATATGTCGATGGGCTTAGGGTAAGGCCAATATGATGGTTCGGGTCAAATTTGGAAAATTAGGCCATAGATGGGCCATTGTTTGGGCCTTTATGATTATGAGATATTGGACCATTAGAAATACCAAATGTTGGACTGGACTTTTTGGTTGTTCCTTTGAATAAGACATGTAAAGGTTTGGGCCCAATTTGGAAAATTCGGCCATATGTTCGGCTTTGATTCCCAGTTTGACTTTTGGGCCTTTGGGTTTGGGCCTTGAGTTGAATCAAGCTAGGATAGGGGTAAAGCAGTCTTTTACCCCAAGCATGGATTTACGATTTTCATGTTGGAACCTAATTATTAATTGAGTGTTATTTTGATGTTGACAGTTCGGGAACCTATCATCCAGCAACTGGGTTTGGGTCTACGGGACTTCAGCAGTGTGAGATGAGTTACCTTATAATGTTGGCCCGCTAGTAGGAGCTGTTTGTTAGATAATTGTCTTTGTGACAATTGTCTGGTTAGCCATTATCGGATATGTTTTACATGCTAGCATGATATGATGTTATGTGATAGTGGTAGTAAGGGGAATAGTCCCGAACTACCGGTCGATAGGGCCAAAGGGTTAGTTTAGTACTCAGCTTTGTTAGATAGATTATGATACATGTGATATGATATTATGTAGTACTAGTAGGGGGTGAAATAGTCCCCGGTTACCGGTCGGCAAGACCGAAGGGGTAGGTTGGGCACCTAGATATGCCCAACAGGGGTAGGTTAGGCACCTCCGTATGCCTAGCAGGGGTAGGTTAAGCACCCCGGTATGCTCAGCAGGGCAGGTCGGGCACCCAGATATGCCTGGCAGTACGTGATTTGTATGGTATGTGGTATGATGGGGGAACTCACTAATTTTTGTGCTTACGGTTTCCAGTTTTGGTTTCAGGTACTTCGTTTTCAAAGGAAAGGAGTCGGCTTGATCGCAACACATCACACTATATTTCCGCACATGAGATCTTGGGGATTACACTCTGATATTGTTTTATGAAAACAAGTTTTGATTATTTCTACTTTGGTTTTTTACATGAGATGTTATTATGGATGTTTTATTACTTATGGTTATATAATAACTTATTTAAAAACAAAATTTTTGGCCAGTATTTTTGGGATGTTACAAGTTGGTATCAGAGCCTTGGTTTGAAGGATTCGGGCACACTCCCGGATGTGTCTGAACTCAAACTAAGGACTTGGTATGAAAATTTTCAAAAGTAAAACCCTTTTATAAAAAGAAGTTTGAAAAGAATTTGAAAAGAGAATAGAACTTTTAAAAGAACAAGATGTGTGATGCGTACAATCATCCGAGCTCAAGTAAGTTTTCCCAGTATACCCTTACATGTTATGATATGTTATGTTATGATATGATTATGAGAACTGCATGCTAGATTAGGGCTAAGAATCTAGGGAGGATGCCTTATATGCCTATTGTATGTGCTTGTAGACTCGCATGTTAGTAATTATCAGTCAGTGATAGGATAGCCTGTTTAGGTTATGTCTGATTGTATGAGCCTTTGAATTGCATGTACAGATTCCTGATTAGAGGATAGAATGGTTTGATTAGATTATGATGGTTAGATTTTTCTTTTGTCTAAATGTTGTTTGATTTGTGCTTTTTTCGACTCTTGGTAATGTGAGTTAGCTACTAAGTGAATATGCTAAGTCACATGGGACACATGCCGGTTAATCTTAGAGTGATGGACTTGACCCTATTGCGCAGCTCTTGTCTGAGTCCAACCATTCTAGGGATGGGTCTCTTACTCGAAGGATTCTCTAATCTCTATTGCATGTGGCTATATTTATAAGGTAGCTAGCTGACATTACTCGGAATCTTTCAGCGATTGAGCGATTGAGGATTGGGTGAGTTTGGGAACCTAGGAAAGCCTAGGATACATTTTAGTGGGTTAGTAGTGAGGTTCAGTGAGACTTGGGTTTACCAGTTTGAGGAAGTGACTTAGAGGACTCAGGAGGATTGCTAAGGAAAGTATGGATAGGTGTGGAAGGTAGTATTGGGTCCGTAATACTGAAAGCACAGGATCCATACTGGAATCGGTGAGAGTCTTGGAGAATCTGAGAAGCTTCATGGAAGAGTTTGTGACCCAGTTTGGGGATAGAGGATGTTCTAGTTGTTGCAACTTAGCCATGGTCAAGCAAGCTAGTGAGTGTGAACGGGTGTCAGGCCCGGAAGGATATGATTTCCAAGAAGTTGCAGATGTGATGTCGATTTGGAGCACTTGGAGAAGAGAGGTTCATGTCAGGTGCGTATAGTAGAGGGTCCCGGGAAAAGACCCATGACTTTTGATCATTGGTTGAAAGGTCAGCAGGGCCGGAGTCAGTACAGCACGTATGGGAAAGTGCACAAGGGAGTTTGCCGCTCTAAGGGTTTAGGCTGCAACAGGTGTGGAAGGTTTGATCATGTCAGCTGAAGGTGATCAATATTTCTCTAGATGTTATGGGTATGTCATCTTCTTTTACTGATAGATGAATGTTGGGGATACATATCAATTTGGGATTGTGCGTGAGTTTGGATAAGTCAGATCTCGGTTCGGTTTTCTGCTAGTGTTTGGGTTATCAAGGATCATATATGCCATCCTGCATGCTAAAAAGTCATTGATGAACCCACAAAGGGATGCATTTTACGGAGTGGGTTCCGCGTGTACCATTATCATTCCAGATCTTCGTCAGGATCTGTGTGGGTATTATTTAGAGGATACTCGGCAAGGGTTGGAGTAATAGTTCTTCAGTGAATTCAGCGTTCAGTGGTTCAAACATGGTTCAAGTGTGGTCGATAGTTGTTTATGGATGAACTTTGGAGTTCAAGGCACTACCGTTGCTGGGACAGGACTGGTAGCATGAAGATATTGGAGTCAATTGCGAGTCTTGGACGCATGGGTGTTTAGTCATTAGATGTTCAATAGAATTGCATTTCTCGCATGGGTTATGTCCGGTTAGAGTTTAGTGGTGATGCAAGACTGGAAGTGGGAATGAGGATTCGCTAGCCAGGGTGAAGATTAATGCCTCCAGTTGTCAGCATGGGGGAGAGACTTTTTGTAAGTTTCTCCAAATATGAGTTCTATTTGTGCGAGGTGCAATATCTCAGGAACCTTGTCAATCAGAAGAGTATTATGGTCGATCCGGCCAAGATAGAGGTTGTGATGCAATGGGAGATTCTGAGGTCTCCAATTGAGATTCGGAGTTTCCTGGGTCTAGCGGGTTATTACCGGAGATTTATGCGGGATTTCTCCGAGATTGCGATTCCTTTGACCCGGCTGACCAAGAAGTCGGTGGCCTTTCATTGGGGGCCTGATCAGCAGGCAACCTTCGAGACTCTCAGTCAGCAGGTTTCAAGAACTAGGTTAGCGCTCTAGATAGGACTCAAGTTCAGTTGAGTGTTAGGTCGAGTGCGTGTTCAACTAGTATGGAAAGTGTTGTAAGACTACAGGGGTAGCCGTAGCATTCACTAGCAATCAGGTAGTATGGAAAGTGTTGTAAGACTGTGGCGGTAGTCGTAGCATCCACTAGCAGCAGATAG